CCGGATGTTCGCACAGTTAATCTTAAATAGACTCTCAGCTATATTTATTTCCATATAATTTTCTCAATAATAGAAAAGATTTCGTTGTGAAATGTACTTTATAGAATAGACAAGTCATATGCTTTGTTAGTCTATCACATTTAGAATTGGCGATGAGCTAAGCGCCATCGAGAGAAAGAATCTGGTTAGGCATTGTTTAGCGAGTACTGGCAACATCATCTACTTACGAAATTCCCCCGTCTATGCCACAAACAATATAATCGATAAGCATTTTGTTTTATGGCATACTAATCAAAACAAATAAACACGATGCGAAATCGCGCAGTTGCTGATGCGAAAATTACAACAATTTGCAATCAGCTAAGGCAGCAGCTATACATGTGGTATATATAGATGTGTGTACATCTGATGGATGCGCCGCTAACCGCAGATAGGCAGATCGTCGGACAAGTAGATAAACAATACCAGACAGAGATTGCCAGACGTCAGACAACGTCATCGTCAGCGTTGTCAACGTCAGACGTTAAATTTATGCTATTTGCCAGGTTTATGACGTGGCTACGACTAGACCCACGCAGCACAGCTGCTGCAAACGTAATTTCCTATTGTTAATATGAAAAAGGGGAAACCAAACTATCGAGTACCAATTCGATTCATTTGAATACGGTTGTGCATAGACATGATTATCGAGCCGAACTTGAGCTTGGGTATTCACTGGAAAGGACAAGGGCAACCTAAAAATCGATGCATGACAATCCAAATGAACATTTCTCATGCTAATGGATAATTTGTGTTACGTTTCCTTAAAATTGATTGCAATTTTACAGGGTAAAGAGAGCAATGGGTGTTGAATTGGTGGAATAGACGTTAAGAGATCCATTTGAAATAATATTTTTGTCGATATCTATATTTTATTTTACTACTACTTTAAGCTTTTTGCGTCTCTATGTGATTTTTATATTTTCCAAAATCTCAGAAAGCAAAAATATGTATGCTTGAATGCAATTTTCATTATATATTTTAGTTTGTTATTATATAATAAAAAGTGGAACACTTTCAGCTTTGTTACAGGGTATATACTAAGGATGCACTCTATAAAAACATTATTGTCTCTTTATGCTTACTTGGCACAGTGACACAGACCATTTGTAACTTGGCATTGAGCCAAATATTGCATGAAAGGCATGAAAGCGACAGCAAAAACAATGCTCAAAAAGTCACACAAAAAAACAAAAACAAAAACACCTGCAGTGAATGAATATCATGTAAGAAATTAATGCAATTTACAGAGCTGGCTAATTGTAAGCGTCAAGTGACTAAGCCTTAAATACAATAACAAACAAAGAAAGAGACTGAAAATGACTAAATAAATGTGTTAAGTAGTCAAAGGCCATAAACAAATCTGGTGCGCATTTTCATTGCTTTTCATACGCAACGTTGACGCCGACGCTGACGCAATGCCACGACCTACCCCCAAAGGCGTCCCCTCGGCAAACAGTGTGTGGACCGACAGGCAACTGACGGCTTCCGTTGACCCTGGTCAATAAACTAGTGAGGCAAATGGGTAGCTACAAGTAAATATCATAAACGCGAATACGTGTCAATAATGAGTGTGAGAAGCAGGAGACACTCACTAAAAACCAGTGCAAAGTCCATGGTAAACGTTTGCATTACACTCGTTCAAGGTACAAAAACTATGGAACATTAATAATATAAGGTAATTTTAGAATAAAAGATGAACATTTTATGATTTTATCTGTGGCGGTAGTTAACAGAAGATAGAATTTATATGGTCTCAAAAGTTAAGTATCGGCCAGTATGCCACGCAAGGCCTGCAAAATAATTCTAAACAGTATGAACAATCTTTCGGTGTGTTAGATAATAAAATCTTATAATAAACTCATCAATATAGTCATATAGTCCACACAAAAACCAATATACTCTATTCGACATGACGAGAGAGTATAACAGCACAATGCCTGTTTGTAAGAGATACTCAAACGAAGGCAGCTCGCAGATCCTTTATCTATTGTCTGCCTTGATTAATGACGCATAATAAACTTGTCTTGTTCAGTTCTAATGGATGTGTATTTCGGCCAAAAAGGGAAACCATTAAAGGGGTGGAACAAAGCATCAACTAACAAATAAATAATGCCCAGCAAAAGCAAATAGAATGTAAATGGCGTTTTAGTACAAAGCAAATGACAAACAAGCGACAATATAATAAGAAAATATTTGAGTTTAGTAATGGGAACTGTTTTAGCTATTATATCATATTGAAATGCGATTACATTATATTATAAATTTATAGCAAGTTGATCAAATTTTCAATTATAATACAATTTAAATGACTATTTTATAACTCTTACTTTTGCTTAGAATTTGCCTTCGCCCTTTTAAAAATTTCAGTGAATAAACTTTATGTAAATATAGATTTCCTGTAATGTTCATTTGCTAGTTAAACCTCTGAAATCCCAGCACTTTGTACTCGATGCTTGATAAAGACGCACGTATTATTTAACTTGAATCGCGGAAATTGCAAAACAGAAAAAATATATAAATATATTCATTTATAATTATATATAGATATACATATATTATTGATAGCAAAAGTTGAGCGCACTAAATATTTTGTCGACATTATATGAATTAAATGTGTGGAAGTATGTATATGAACTTTAGATTCTGCAGCTTTGTTTACATTTCTCGCTGATAAGTTAGTTGGTTGCCCCCACAACACAGCCGACACAATCCATTCAGTATGGGAGGTATTAGTCTGATAAGCGCACGGCTTTTTGTTTATACGGGCTCAATTATAATCGCCAGTGGCATAATGGAAGTGTACAGAGCAGGTTTTTCTGTCGGGTTATCAGCATTTTGCGTACTCCAAGCGAATATTGAAATAAATAAATAGTATGCTTGTGGGGGCGATAAATGATTGATTGATTATTAGTTTATCTTTTTTTTTTTCAAAAACACACACAGCATTGGCATTGAGGTTCAAGTTGAAAACCAACTAGGGAGAGTAAAGCACTAACAAGCCACTCCGATTACATGTTATCTGTGTGACATAATGAAAGCCTACACGCAAAACTAAATGTAAGTTTGCTCTAGGCCCAACCAGAACTAATCGATATTCATATGTTGATAAGCAACAGGCAGTAACGCTGGCTGTGTTGACTACATAGTTGAATAAATCTACCCTATATATACAACTCGTTTAGCTTTCTCATTTATTTATAATATATCATTTTCAAGAATTCAAAATTAATTATTTAAATTTAATTGTTTACATGACACTTAACATAACTCCATTGTCATGGCAATCTTTGAATCTATTTTATCTTTAATTTTATTTAAAATTTATCAGCTAGTTAAATTTGACATCTAAGTTTAAATTAACGTCTGATTAAATTCAACACTGTTTATATGATGTTTCTAATATATCAACTTTCATAAGTTCAATATAAATGTCTAATATTTTGAATATATATTTTATACAAATTATTATTATATAAATAATGTTTAAGTTGATTTTGAATT